TTTTTTTGTTTACAAACAGGGGAGGCACGGGCGGTTGTTTCACATAATTTGGGTTGCAACACTTCCTCCCCCGGCTCACCCCCCCTGCCTCTGGCGCTTCACCCCCCCTCAGGGCCCGAGCGAGGGTGAGAGCTTTGCCCCCCACCCGCATTCGGGGCACGCCGTGCTGCGTGACGTTGGGGAATGTGGCCACTGGTTCTAGCGGGAGGGAGCCCGCCCTGGCGTTTCGGTGTTTTTCTCGCGCGTGGTTGCAAGCTGCAGGTCAAAAGTGCAAATATTGTCAGACGACGCTAATGCTGTAATGACTGTAAATTAGAAATAGTGCGGCAATTATCCTCGGAGTAATTATGTAATCTGCTTAGCAAATCACATAATTAGTTTATAAAGGAGCGCTACAGATTTTTCTGAAACTAGCTGATTTGGCCTGCTTTTTAAACTGCTCAGTGTAAGACTGATGGGGTAGCAAAACAGTGCCAGTCTCTTCCGCTCATTTTGCACTTGGGTTTCTTAACTTGTAGGAGGGAATGCAAGTTTGTTCACAACTTCCACTCAGACCACAATCTCTGTGTTCTAAAGCAATATGGACTTGAGCATTTAAACAGTGGTGAACTTCGCCAGCTTCTGCTTCAAAATGACCCTTCCCTCTTACCGGAGGTGAGTAGTGCTGTGACAGTTTCCTATCCTTGTGTTTCAGTGAGCATCACAAAGTGGAAGAGGCTTGATCTGGCTGGAGGCGTCGGTTTAGTTAGCATGATGCAAACCTAAAACTTTAAATCTGCATCCTCTGATCCCGTCTGTGGTGGATTGACCCCAGCTGGCAGCTAAGCACTTGCACAGCCCCTCACCCACTCCTCTTGCCCCTGCCCCCAGCAGGACAGGTTAGAGAAAGCATGAAGAACAAAAGTGAGGAAACTTGTGGGTGGAGATAAAGACAGTTTAGCAAGTGGAGGGAAGAGGGAAGAAAACAAGTGTTGCAAAGGGGGTTAGTAGCCACTTCCCACAAGCAGACTGATGCCCAGCAAGTCTCTGAGCAAGGGCAGCCTTGTAAGAAGGATCCACCTCCCCCACCCTTTTTTAATTTTTTTTTTTTTTTTTTTTTTTAAGAACATTACATTATATGGCATGGAATATCCCTTTGGCCAGTTTGGGCTAGCTGTGTCCTCTCTCCACTTCTTGCCTGTCCCCAGCCTACCCAGCATTGGGGGCCCAGAGTGGAGAAAAAGAGAAAGCCTTGACACTGTGCAAGCACTTCTCAGTGGTAGCTGAAACAGTGGTGTGTGATCAACACTGTTTTGGTCACAAATCCGAAACATAGCAGGGTATGGTCTGCTCTGAAGAACTTTAACTCATCCCAGCCAGATCCAGTACCTCTTCCCATCAAATTCAAGTCAAAAATGTTCACTATTCCAAAACTAGAAAACCAAAGAGTTCGGGTAGTGACACAGTAAAATCCACTATCCTACATTTATGTGACTTAGAACAAAATCACATCCGCTTGAGACTGTCTGTAAGACGGTTGCTGTCTGCTGAAAGGTCTTTCTAGACATTAGCATGGAAAAGGAAAAACTATCAAGTAATCATTTGGAAAATGAGAAGAAAGAAGAAACTTGTATATGTCTTTTAAATGCAAATGTAAACATGTAGCTGTAAAAAATCAAAAATTGTGAATTCAAGCAGTCTGTATGAGCACACTGTACTCTCATCTTTAAATGCTTTTTATTTTTTTTCCTTTACCCAAGGTCTGCTTGCATTATAACAAAGGTGATGGACCTTACGGATCTTGTACCTATAGAAAGACCTGCACCAAATTGCATGTTTGCCAGTACTTTTTGCGGGGACAGTGCAAATTTGGCAGCAGCTGCAAGCGATCCCATGACTTTAATAAGTCAGAATGTTACGAAAAACTGGAGAGACAAGGAATGAGCTCAAACATTATTGAGAAACTACCTTCCATTTATAGGAATATGTATGACATAGAAGATGCCAAGTCTTCACCATGCAAAGGTAAATGATATCACCGTTTGAAAACATCAGAAGAAGAGTCACTATAGTGAATGTAACATTCTCACAGATGTCGTTAAGAAAAAGAAAACTGAATTCACGTCTTGATGTGTCTTTTAGGAGGGACCTTGCACCTACCTCATTGACAGATTTGTGTCTTGACAAGTGGAGTAGATTTCAAGGCATTATGGGTTCCTGAGAAATAAAGTGCTTAGGGTTTATAAAAAAAAAATCTTAAATTTGGGGTTAGAAAAGCATAACAGGAACTGGAAATATCTATATTTTTTTTCTTGGTAAAAAAAAAACCAAACCATAAACAAGGGTGGAGAACTGTTTAAGGGGTGGTGTTTACTTGTGTGATTATAAACTATTTTATCTTCTTTTTTTTTCTTTAATGTAGTGATTGTCTAGCACAAGAGTTCACAGCACTATCCTAGTTACTTCTCGGAGATGTAATATTTTGTTAAGTATAATTTTGCAGGAAAGAAAAGGATAGTAGGATGGCAAATACAAGTGTGTGTGTTCATCTCCTATTCTCCCTGTAGTTCCTTCTTCCCTTCTTTGTTTCCTTAGGTGTGCTTTAATTTACAGAAGTGTCAAATTTTGAGACTTCAGATTCTATAGCTCCCAATGGGAACAGTTAAGTGGAGTGCACGGTTAGCTCAAGTCCATCTAGGGATGTAAAGGCATTAGATTCTGTTCTTGTTTTGCAGTGATAGCTAAAAACTGTATCTGAGGAATTTAGCAGTAACAGGAAAGTCAAGTTCAGAAAGGATGGATAAAGGGAGAGGACTTTTGAATATACAAGGTTATTAAAGACTTCAGTGTCTTTCTGGAGCTAAATGCAGTTACGTAGTTACCAACACCGGTTTTAGGCATCTTCCCTAGCCATAGGTGCACTTTTAAGAGGGCTTGTCAAAACAGAGTGTATTAATAAGGCTTGTAATTCCCCCCTCTAGAGAGAAAACGCAGCTCTAGCCAAGAGTCCTCAACTACGAATGATGATGAATTGGAACAGATCTGTTTATATCATCTGTACAGAAGTTGTGGTTTTAAAGGTAGGTTGTGACTGTAGCAAGTTCAGTCTATTTTCCTTTTCTCATAAAGAGAAAGTGATGGACGTATTTCATGGAAAGGGGAAACTTCAGAGCTTCTGCTTATCTTTAGTTAAATCTCATTGTAATATTGAGTGCTGGTAGGAAAGTGTTTGATCTACCTGGTACACCAAACAAAGGAGCAGTGTAATCTCCTTGATTTGCCCTATAGTTAAGTTGTACAGACAGCTGTGAAAGCTAGCCTCAAGTTTATGCATATGTGTGCTGGTGATGTGATGTGATCTTCAGTCCTATTGAAGAGTGACTGCATACTGACTCTTCAAATGATTTTTGAGTAACACTTGTGATAATTAGGCCACTGCTACCACTACTCTTGTTCCTGGGGAGGCCTGGACCCTTAGAGACTTCTTGAAGTCTCTAAATGAACTACCTCCTATCCTAAAACAAAGCACTGTTTTGTGTTTTGTTTTGTTTTTTTTTTCCCCTCAGTAGTACCACTTCGGGACTAAGTGGTTAAACATAGATATTTGAGTCTACACTGTTATTCTATTTATGAAATAATAGCTTTCTGTGAGATTGTGATCTTGATTCATTGTAAATTTTTGTGTCTGAAACCAGGAAGACAGAACGGTCTTTCACCACTGAGCTCCTGATAGCAATTTTAATGCACAAAGAGAATCTGATAGGTACAGATACTGAACTTCTGCCTAAGCTCAAAAATGAAGTTTTGCTTGCTCATGCCGAAAAATTCTGAACTATTGCTTGTAATGATCCCATAGGTGAACACTTGCCATAGCTATGCATTTGATACTTTCACCAGCTGGGTATACAGCCCTGAAATGTTGGAGTTTTTCTCATAGCCTGTAAAACTAAGGCATCTCTTACTTTTTTTTTTTTTTTTTTTTTTTTTTTTTTTTAAAACTTTTACAGACAAGTGTATCAGAACTCATTTTCACTTGCCATATAGATGGCAAATCTCTGATGGCAGTACCTGGAAGGACTTGAAGAATATGGAAGAAATAGAAAAAGCATATTGTGACCCCAAGAATGCCAGGTATAAACTCTTGTAAAATGTAATAATGTTTGGAGTTTGCTGTGTTGGACCAGGCCCTTAGTGGCCATAAATGGCAACAATTCTATTGCAGTCATTACATAAGTAGCTTCACTTGGTATTCTTCTACTAACCTCACTTTGATCTTCTGTCACTGGAGCCTGATCCATTGTGACTCAATTATGCCTGGGAGTCTGTATAGGACCTTCTGGGTTACCCTACTGGGATTGGCTGGGATGGAGTTAACTTTCTTCGTAGCAGCCTGCATAGTGCTGTGTTCTGGATTTGTGACTAACCCATTGCTGATAATGCACCAGTGTTTTAGGTGATCCTGAGCAGTGCTTGCCCAGAGTCAAGTCTTTCTGGTTTTCCTACTCTGCCCTGCTCATCCACAGTGGGTAGACTGGGGGTAGGCAAGGGGCTGGGAGAGGATCAGCCAGGACAACTGACCTGAACTGACCAAAGGGGTCTCCCATACCACACAACATCACACTCAGTTATAAACCTGGGGCAGAGGAAGAAGAGGGTCGGGTTTTTGGTTTCCAAGGTGGCAGCTGTTTGGAGCCTGGCTGGGCATTAGACTGCCTATGGAAG